CCCCAGGGGACAACAAGGATACTTCTATAGTGTAGTAGATTCAATTTTATTCATATAAAAGGTGCATCACATAAAAAAGTGCAAAACAACCGTTGCAGACAGTTGTCTGTAAGAGGACTGACCAGCTGGTAATATGTAATGGCCGCCGGAGCTCCACGATGCTCCGGCGGCGTGACGTCATCGTGGAGCTCCGGCGGCCATTACATATTGAGTGCGCATTTCATTTCCACTACTACCCAGACAACGAAGTCACCTTTCATTATCCTGTTTTACTATCCTGATTTATTTATATTTATGGGACTACTCCTTACATTTATTGGAATTCAATTTGACTTATGATACTGTATTTCATCCATTCACTCTATTAGCGACGAGCGCTGCACTTGTCATATACATGTTTAATACTACTGCTTGACCAGTCTACCAGTTTTATTGGTGTTCTTGGTAAAATGTTTTTTGTCCTACGTAAATAAATGTAACCCATAGTGTAGAATTCTTTCTATTCATTGTTACCACTGCACAGAAAAGAAACAAGTCTTGATTGCCTTGTTTTGTTTGCTCTTTGAAAATAAATGGTGTCCTGATAATGATAAGGAACAAACAGTTGGGAAAAAAAAAAGCTTGTTCAGCTGGTTTAACAGTTTTTTTACTGTTCAGGTTTATGAAAGGTTTAACCATATCTGCTCTGGTAACATGTATAAGGGAAATATTCTTTATTGTGTGATCACAATTCTTATTTGGCATTCTTTTGAAAATTTGGCATTCTTTTGAAAATGGGATACCAGTTAGGCTCCATTCACACCTGAGCTTTTTGCAGCTCGAAGTTACAAGACACTTAACAAGTCAAATCTCATTTATTTCAATGGCCCCTGATCACATCTGAGCATTTTCTTGGCTGTAGAAAAGTGCCAATTTCTCAAAAAAAGTTCATACGCTTCTTTTCAAGCAGATTGGTGTGTTTTTGGTCACATAGACTTCAATGGGAAAACCTAGAAATGCAAGACATGGGCATTTTACAACCGTTTTGATGCTCATTTTCCAGGTAAAATAGCTCTCTACCTCTAATCTTCTCACCCTGGCATTTTCTACTGGCTAAAACAAAAACACCTGAAGGTTCAATACACATGTAAAACACTTTTAATTCACTTCTAAAATGTATATGACTGCAAAACTCTCAAATAAAAAAATGCAAAAATTGCTCTGATTAGGTATAAATGCAGACTTATGGTTATTATGTTTGCTACTAGAAATGTGATTGGCCAGGGATGTGGTTATTATATTTATACCATGATCAGGGAATAGTCGCTTTATAATTAACATTCCATCTTTACATTCTTTATCCATGTACTGCATACTTGTAATTGAATTGGGTGAATATTTGTGTGATTAGCTGCGTTAGAGGCAGGGGCGGACTGACAACTCATGGGGCCCCCGGCCAATAGGGGATCATGGGGCCCCTGTGTCCTTGCCCAAACTCAAAAAAGCCTATGAAAAAGATACCAGGGGCATCTCATGGGGCCCTCTATTGCCCCCGGGCCCTCGGGCAGTCTCATGGGGCCCTGGGCAATAGGGGATCATGGGGCCCCTGTGTCCTTGCCCAAACTCAAAAAAGCCTATGAAAAAGGTACCAGGGGCATCTCGGGCAGCCCCCGGGCCCTCGGGCAGTGCCTGAGTTTCCAAATGGTCAGTCCGCCCCTGGTTAGAGGTATTACTTAGTTGACATGAATGCTAAGGGATCACATTGGGGACTTTATGCACATTCATATGCAATACATATCTAAATAGTTTCAGGGGAATATACTGTATTTTATTTTTGTACTGATCTTGGCTGGATGTTAGAAGGGAGCAAGCATAGGCATGAGACTTATCCTCTAGTCTAGAGAAACAATAATCAGCCGTGCTTGGCATTGTAGATTTTGGCACAATAAATTTAGGATAAGAAAAGGGAACTTCAGTATTGATCTGGACTCAGGAGGCTGATACTTTCTCCAACAAGATAAGTACAGATTAGGGGTTAGGTTAACGTGGTAGTAAATCCCCATTATTCACTTGTACCTTAATCACTTGCCCTCCTGAGGACTTACCTCCCTCCCTGATCAGGCCATTTTTTTGCATTACGGCTCTGCATTACTTTAACTGACAATTGCGCTGTCATGCAACACTGCACCCAAATTAAATTTACACCCTTTTTTCCCCATGAAATGTGGTTTCTTTCGGTGGTATTTGATCGCCTGTGCGTTTTTTATTTTTTTGCGCTATAAAAAAAAAAAGACTGACAATTTTGAGAAAAAAACTAATATTTTGGACATTTTGCTATTAAACATGTCCAGTAAAAAAATTTAAAAACATCAAATATCATCATAAATTTAGGGCAAAATGTATTCTGCGACATGTCTTTGCTAAAACAAAATCTCAATACATGTAAATTAATTGGTTTATGTGACAGTTATAGCGTTTACAAATGGTGGTATAGATACTGTGATTTTTTTTTCTACTAGTAATGGTGGCAATCAGTGACTTTTAGCAGGACTGTGGTGGACATTCTGACACTGGGGGGGAACTAACGTGGTGTCACTGACATCCCCAGTGATACCAATACAGTGACTAGTGGTAAAAAAAAAAACACCCACACTGTACTAGTGACACTGGGCAGGAATGGGTTCACATAAGAGGTGATAAAAGGGTTAATTATATGTAGGGAGTGTTTTACTAGGGGGTTGGGGGGGCCCCCTTGCCGGCCGGGACCCGGTGATTGACAGCCGCGGCCGCGAACGGCGGTGTGGGTAGGGCGCATGCGTGGCTTGGGCATGTCCCCTACCTGGAAATGCAAATGTAAATATATAATATATTATATATATATATATATATATATATATATATATATATATATATATATGACTTTGCGCATTCATGCTGCCCTGTAGCAGTATTTCTGCTATAGGGCAGTCGGGAAGCGGTTAACGTAAGCCTAAAATAAGGCTTACCAGTAGGAACAGTAAACATCTCCTAAATGTGCACTGTTTAGGAGGTATTTACTATAGTAGCAGCTGGTGATGTTATCAGCGTATGTGCACTGAGAGCCATGCCATGGCTAGTCAAACAGCCCAAGCCAGTGAACCTAGAAGGAAGACCAAGTGAACATGGAAGCGCCTACAGCAGTCTGCTGGAGGGCTTTGTTTTCAAGTAAGCATTTCATAAAGTGCTAGCATGTGATGTATACTAGCACATTATACTATAATTTTGCATGGAAAATTTTTGGGGTATGGGTTTTTTTGCCGTTTACTACCAGTTTAAGGTCTCTGTTATGGTCAAGGGTTAGGGGCTAGGATCAAGGTTAATTGTATGACGGTAAACGCTTGCTTAAATATTAGTATTTACATTAAAGTGGAATTCCAGTCAAATCCTAACTATACTTAAACCTGCTTTTACCCCTATTCTAAGCCCTAATCAAACTACCCAGTAAAATAAAGATATCTATACTTACCTATTCTGAGGGCGATACAGTCTGGTCACATGATCTCTTCAGTGCTGGCTTCAGTGTAGAGAAGAGATTGCCAACAATGGCTGCAGAGCCTGTGCCATGACATCACCCATAGACATACTGGTGTTGGTTGTCCCTCCTCTACACTGAAGCTAGCACTGGGAGCCAGTCATGTGAACAGATCAGAGTGCCTTTAGAATAGATTAGTATAGACATCTTTACTTTACAGGGGTAGTTGTTTCAGGACACATGGGTTACTAAACCCAGGACAATTTATGTATTGCTTTCAGCTGAGACAGCTCTTAAATACTGAGTCGAACTAACAGTTCTGAGAGCCAAAAAACAATGTCAGGTAAATAGTCTGTCATATTGGCCCTGTCAATATTACAATGCCCAAATACTAAACTGCAACGTACTGTACATATATTGACAAAGGGGATCAGAAAAAACAAATTTTTACACAGGCCTTTCTAAGTATAACAATTTCTACTGCATATACAACCACTTCCCAACTGCCCACAATATATTGCAGAGACAGTACTGCTACAGGGCAGTAGGAATGTGCAACATCCATACCCGCGCTGCTTTTGGCTCCTTGGCATGTCAATTGCTGATTCTCGGCCAGAACTCAGTGATCATTGGCGGAACTGACAGGGGAGAGGTCTGTATGTAAACAACACAGATCTCTCCCCTGTCGGCACGAACAGGCTGCTTTGTATTGCTCTGCACATCAAGTCAAGTGCATTATGCTATGAAGTCCATTCATTTTGAATAGACTGTCAATGCACCGAAATGCAGGTTTTGATGCAGCACACCACAACACGGTTTGTAAGTATATATGTGCCATACCTGTGAGATCCCTGTGGAAACCAGAAATCACGATAATAGGTACACTTCATTAACTTCTGGGTACTGTGCTGAGTGTTTGTCCTGCTGCATTCTGAACACAGAAGGTCTCTCAGCACAAGCGCCATTCAGAGAACATTTTGCATTTCATCAATGAATGCTATGTGCTTTCTGGTTGGATGAGATGAAAAAGTGGAGCAGGGACATTGTGTTCTCATCCAGTCTGAGAACACTTTGTATTTATTCAGAAAATGCAAAGTGCTCTTTGAATTGTGCCTTGCGGAGTGACCAACCACATGTTTTCAGTACCCAGCAGGGCGGCCGTTCAGCACAGAAGCTAATGGCAATCACTGTAATAGGGGTGCCAACTACAGAGGTTTCCAGCTTCCATGGAGATCTCACAGATATGGGACATACAGGTGAAACTCGAAAGATTAGAATATCGTGCAAAAGTTCATTTATTTCAGTAATGCAACTTAACTAGTTGCCGACCGCAGATAGCCGAATGACGGCTGCACTGCGGCCGGCCAGTTCTGGGTGGACGTCATATGACGTCCTCCCAGAACGCGCTCTCCTATGGACACAGCTGATCACGTGATGTGGTAAAAGGCCAATCACAGCGGCCTTTTACCACGTGATCAGCCGTGTCCAATGACACGCTGATCACCGGGAAATTGAATTGCCGGTTCTCGGCTGCACTTTCCTCACGCTGTCAGATCGTGAGGAAAGTACTGCCGAGAACCGGCAGTTGTCAGAGCAGGGATCGGCACCGATCATCAGGGCACTGATGATCAGTGCCCTGATGATCGGTGCCCAGCAGTGCCACCCACAAGTTCTGCCCACCTGTGCCCAGCAGTGCACCCACTAGCTCCGCCCACCTGTGCCCAGCAGAGCACCCACCTGTGCCCAGCAGATAACCCACCTGTGCCCAGCAGTGCACCCACCTGTGCCACTCTGCAGTGTCACACACCTGTGCCCAGAAGTGCCACCTACCTGTGCCCAGCAGTGCCACCCACCTGTGCCCACCAGTGCCACCCACCTGTGCCCACCCGCCAGTGCTGCCCACCAGTGCCACCCACCAGTGCCACCCACCAGTGCTGCCAGTCAGTGCCACCAGTCAGTGCCCAGCGGTTGTGCCAGTCAGTGCCGCCAGTCAGTGCCCAGCAGTGATGCCAGTCAGTGCCGTCTATCAGTACCCATAATCAGTGTCACCTATCAGTGCCGCCTATCAGTGCTGCATATTAGTGCCGCCTATCCGTGACACCTCATTAGTGCTGCCTATCAGTGCCGCCTATCCGTGCCACCTCATTAGTACTGCCTATCCGTGCCCTTTAGTGCTGCCTATCAGTGCCCATCAGTGCTGCCTCATCAACGCACATCAGTGAAGGAAAAAAATTACCTGTTTGAAAAATTTTATAATAGAAACAAAGAAACTTTTTTTTTTTTTTCAAATTTTTTGCAATTTTTTTGTTTATAGCGCAAAAAGTAAAGTGCCCAGTGGCGATTAAATACCACCAAAAGAAAGCTCTATTTGTGAGAAAAAAATGATCAAAATTTCATATGGGTACAATGTTGCATGACCGTGCAATTGTCAAAGTGCGGCAGCGCTGAAAGCTGAAAATTTGCCTGGTAAATAAGGGGGTATAATTGCCTGGTAGGCAAGTGGTTAAAAGGTGAAACTAATATATGAGATAGACTCATTACATGCAAAGCAAGATAGTTCAGGCCGTGATTTGTTATAATTGTGATGATTATGGCTTACAGGTCATGAAAACCCCAAATCCACAATCTCCGAAAATGAGAATATTACATGCAATCAATAAAACAAGGATTGTACATAGAACAATATCGGATCTCTGAAAAGTATAAGCATGCATATGTACTCAGTACTTGGTTTGGGCCCCTTTTGCAGCAATTACTGCCTCAATGTGGCGTGGCATGGAAGCTATCAGCCTGTGGTACTGCTGAGGTGTTATGGAAGACCAGGATGCTTCAATAGCAGCCTTCAGCTCTTCTGCATTGTTCGGTCTCATGTCTCTCATCTTTCTCTGAGCAATGCCCCATAGATTCTCTATGGGGTTCAGGTCAGGCGAGTTTGTTGGCCAATCAAGCACAGTAATCCCATGATCATTGAACCAGGTTTTGGTGCTTTTGGAAGTGTGGACAGGTGCCAAGTCCTGCTGGAAAATGAAGTCAGCATCCCCATAAAGCTCGTCTGTGGAAGGAAGCATGAAGTGCTCCAAAATCTCCTGGTAGACGGCTGCGTTGACCCTGGACTTAATGAAGCACAGTGGACCAACACCAGCAGATGACATGGCTCCCCAAATCAACACAAACTGTGGAAACTTCACAATGGACTTCAAGCATCTTGCAGTGTGTGCCTCTCCATTCTTCCTCCATACTCTGGGTCCTTGGTTTCCAAATGAGATGCAAAAGTTTCTCTCATCAGAAAAGAGGACTTTGGACCACTGAGCAACAGACCAGGTCTGTTTTTCTTTAGCCCAGGTAAGACACTTCTGACGTTGTTTGTTGTTCAGGAGCGGCTTGACAAGAGGAATACGACATTTGAAGCCCATGTCCAGGATCCATCTGTGTGTGGTGGCTCTTGATGCACTGACTCCAGCCCCAGTCCACCCCTTGTCAAAGTCCCCAACACTTTTGAATGGCCTTTCCCTGACAATCTTCTCCAGGTTGCGGTCATCCCTGCTGCTTGTGCACCTTTTTCTTCCACACTTTTCCCTTCCACATAACTTTCTATTAATGTGCTTTGATACAGCACTTTGGGAACATCCAACTTCTTTTGCAATTACCTTTTTGAGGCTTTCCCTCCTTATGGAGGGTGTGAATGATGGTTTTCTGCACAACTGTCAGGTCAGCAGTCTTTCCCATGATTGTGATTCCTACTGAACCAGACTGAGAGACCATTTAAAGGCTCAGGAACCCTTTGCAGGTGTTATGGCTTAATTAGCTGATTAGAGTGGGACACTTTGAGCCTAGAATATTGCACCTTTTCACAATATTCTAATTTTCTGAGATTGTGGATTTGGGGTTTTCATGAGCTGTAAGCCATAATCATCACAATTATGACAAAAACCTAAATACACCACTGCTTGTGACTTCTATCAATGTCTGGCCGAGCACTGGTTAATGCTTGTAGGAGGAATTTTCATTCTCCTCTGACTGTCCTATGAAGCTGGATAACTCCTGCCCCCCTGTTTGGACAGTGCTGATTGGCCCTGTTTCAATCACATGCACCCTCCCAAAGACAAAACTCTCTATCAATACACACCAAACTGAGCATGTGCGGAATAATTCTGTACTATCAGCAGATGGATTGGAGACAGTAGAAGAAGGGGAGGATCTCATCAACAGTATATAGCAGCCTTGTGACTTCTATTAGTGTCCAGATGAGCACTGGTTTAAGCTTGTAGAAAGACTTTTCATTCTTCTCTGACTGTCCTATGAGGCTGTATAACCTCTGACCCTTTGGACAGCACTAATTGGCCCTGTGCTGATCACATGCCCCCTCCCAAAGAAAAAAAAATTCTCTAGCAATTCACACCAAACTGAGCAAGTGCAGAGTGACTCCTAGAGCTCTGTACTATCAGCAGATAGATGGAGGACAGTAGAAGGGGAGGATTGGAGAAAACAGGATCAAACCGTCTTTTTACACAGTGTGGAGGATTAACCCCTTAGGTTCCACAGTGAGTATACAGTGGAAGGGGAGGATCAGATAAGACAGGATCAAACAGCCTTTTGCAGAGGATTAACCCATTAGGTTCCACAGTGAGTATAACAAGCATGCTTTACTGCATATACAGACTGGTTTTTACTGTTGTGGGTTTAGTAAAACTTTAAGTGACCCTTTAACTTTTTCCTGCACTGGCAAAGAAAATGGTTACTTTTACTGATACTAGCCTCATAGCTGCTGTTGTCTTTGCTTGTATAAGATCACTTTTTTTATTATTTAAAGGCTTCCTTGAATTATTGTTGCAGCAGTTATTAGCAGCACTACAAACACCCAAAATGTAAATTTCTTTTTTTGGCTGCACGTCAATGCTAAATAGTATTCTGCTTTTAAACCTAGGTTATCTGAATCCATACTATTTGAGTGAAGTCCCCAGTTGGGGGTATACTTATGATAATATGATATTTACTGTGCAGGAAAAAGTCATGAAATCTGTTGACTGCATTACCAAGGTCAGAATTACATGTTAATGATATTTAGCTTCACAACGTTCCTCATTTACGTGCCCAGCTTATTATGTGTGTACAAAGGTGCAAAGATATATGCTGCAGGGGAGAATTTTAAACAGCTTGGTCAGACGGGTTTGCTGAGTCTCTTCATTTAATGCTATAAAGTGAGCCATTTATTTTAAACAAAAATAGCATATAAGGCATATCGAAAAAAGTTCTAATAATCGTCCTTTTCTTTGGAGCTCACATGAATTACCCACACATTTTTGCCAGGGTCAAATCAAGCAAACAAAGAACAAGTTGGCACTGTCTGTGAAGTGTATTGAACTTTGAGGATACATATGTATTTTAGAACTTTGTAACAATTGTCAAACAATATAATCTCTATACACATGCCCTAACATTCATGTAAGATGTACTTCTGCACTAAACAGGCTAAGTGACTTGTTTTGTGAACTAGCAGTCAAGGACTTAAAAACAACACATCTGTCATTGTGTGCTGCTGCAGGGCACACACAGAAAGTGAATTACAAGTAACATCAAACATTCCAGGCCACTGTTAATCATAAACAGCTAAAGGCTGAAGACAACAGGCAAAGGTCTGTCTGGTCATAGGTCAGAACTCAGGACTTCATGATAGTAAGCTGCCTAATGCTGCATGCTGTGTTATTTACTCATCTATTATATAATATGGCTAAAACAATCGTACATATTACTTTTAATATTTTTTAGCAGGGGTTTTAACCTGGGGTCTGTGGACCTCTAAGTGGTCCATGGATGAGTTTCAGGGGGTCTGTGAGGGTCAGATAAAAAAAATAACATTTTCATTCACTATACAGCCCTCTTCCTTGTCCCAATCAATGGTTTCTCATTGAAAGAAATGAAAGAAAAATGCACCCCGGCACTGCTTATAGGGCAAAACACTGAACGTCTCTTGACTCATTGTTGGCCCATTTTTACCACTTAAATTTGTATCATCATTCTCTGTACTACTGCCGTCTTGTGCCCCTTCATAATAGCAAGTGACAATTCTCATTTTCTAGTAGCAGTAGTAGTAGTAGATTTGAGCAGAATTAATATTAAATTGTTTAGTCCCTGGCAGGGGCGGACTGACAACTCATGGGGCACCCGGGCAATAGGAAATCATGGGGCCCCTGTGTCCTCTCCCACACTCAAACCACATCCAAAAAGGCCTATGGAAGGTACCAGGGGCATCTCATGGGGCCCCCTACTGACCCCAGGCCCTCAGGAAGTGCCCGAGTGACTAAATGGTCAGTCCGCCCCTGGTCCCTGGTCACACTGGGTGCGATTTGTCATGCGATTTGCAATTTTGTAAATTGCATGGCAAGACGCACCCTATTGCCCGCAATTACAGCGGTCATATCGGTGTGGACTTGGTCGGAACCGCACCAATTTCTACAGTAGTGCATGCACTACTTTTGGTGCGATTTGCATATTATTATTATACAGGATTTATATAGCGCCAACAGCTTGCGCAGTGCTTTACAAAATGAAGGTAGACATAACAGTTACAATACAATTTGGTACAAGAGGGAAACAGAGGGCCCTGCTCATTAGAGCTTACAATCTAGGAGGAAGGGCTGAGTAATACAAAAGGTAATTGCTGTGGGGGATGAGCTGATGGAGAAAATAAATGGCGGTTTACTAGGTAGAAGCAGGATAGACTTCTTTAAATAGGAAGGTTTTCAGGGATCGTCTAAAGGTTGATAGATTAGGAGGCAGCTGGACAGATTGGGGTAGGGAGTTCCATAAGATGGAAGAAGTTCGGGAGAAGTCCTGGAGGCGAACAGGTGATGTGTCAGATGTCTTGCAAATCGCAACGTCAAATT